GGGAACTCCAGGATGGTGATGAGAAATTTTTTTCCATACGCCATCTAGAATCTCTGTCCCACGCAACCCTTGCATTAACAGAAGTCTCGTGACCTAAATGGCACTTGCGGCTCTGCTGTGGCATCTTATGGTAGAAAGGAGAGATTTTTGCTGACCAAGGCTGGGGAAACAGGAGAAAAGTGTGGATTGATGGGAGGATGCTTATGCTCTGCCTGCCCGCTCCTCGCAATGAAAGACCATGCAGGTTGCTGGTCTGCAACAGAGAGCAAGGAGGCTGGAAACACATGCAGCAGCAGTATATAGCAGAGAATGGAAGTAGGCCAGATCGCACAGGGAGAGGCGTGAGACTAAGATCATGGATACTATGATAGCAGAGCAAAGTGATTGTTGACATCGTTTCAAATAGAATAAAACTAAGCTTGGTGTCCCACTGTGATATTGGAATATTGCCGTTCCTTACTGAGCAGTAACATGAACTCTCATCTTGGAGGAGGTGACAGACCACTCCTGTGGTTTGCAGTCCTCAAAACACTGCAAGCAGGCAGGGGACGTTTGGATGCTTTGGATGTTGCTGAAATGGGTTTAGTAAGTCAAGGAGGGGCGTATATATTTGCAGGTGGCTCCGGCCTCTTTTCTCACAGTGCTGCTGTTACCCTTGCTCTGTAGCACTTAGTCTTCATCTGCCCGTCTTCTGGATAAAAAGGTACTTTGTGCAGCGGTGTAAAGCTCTGAAGGCAGGGTCGGGTGAGCCAAAGAAGATCGCTAAGGGAAGTCTGGCCCAGCTTGGTAGCAAAGCAGTTCTGAAGGGCTTTGGATGCTGCCAAACTCGGGCTGAAGCATGAACACTCCTCCTAAAGGATCTAGCTGAACTGTAACTTGAAAAATAACAGTTGGAAGCAGTTCTGCTGCTTTCTTTAGTTCAACCCCTAATCTGTTTTGTCTTTTCCGTGCTGTAGTATTTACATGTACATATTTTTTGTATTTCAGTCAAAAACAAAACCCAAGAGGGTAAAAGCAATTTACAACTGTGTAGCAGATAACCCAGATGAGCTAACTTTTTCAGAGGGAGATATCATTGTAGTCGATGGTGAAGAAGATCAGGAGTGGTGGGTGAGTATTTTGCATTTTGCATCAACATAGTTTGAAAGAAGTGAATGAAATCTAGAGGTGGACACTGACTTCCGAAGTTCTTCTTTGGGTTCCCAAAGAACAGAGGAAGTTTCATCTTACAGAAACCCTATTCCAGAAATTTGTTGTGTTCAAAAATAAAACTTCAGCTTTTAGCTTTCCTCATTCAGAAAAGAAATCTGATTAGTGGAGTTTACAATACACAGGGGATATTGTCTGTGTGATCTAGGGAATTCTTGGGGGCTGTCAGCAGGTTAAGAAGCTGCTGCTATTTCATCATCTTTGAAGATGATGTGTGAGGATCCTCAGCAGACAGCTTTGTATTCTCCTGATTTCTCAATCTTAGACACCTAAAAGGTGTTCTGTGCTTTGAGCTGGGAAACCATCTCAACTATTTACCACTCCAGAGTCTCATTAGCTAAGGCAAAGTATTGGAAAATTGTTATGCATGCAAGCAAACACTTGCCTAATTCTGGTAGTTAGCAAAGAGTAGCGCTCCAAATTGCATCTGAAATGACAGTAGTGCTGTATAAACCCAAAATGATTCACCCTCAGACTCTAAGATCTTTTGAAGCTTGATCCATCCTTTTACCTTTCAGTGCTTATTGAGAGGGGGGATGCAGAAGCAACTTAACACAGGCCGAACATGGGCTGCCAGGCATTCCAAAATGCGCTGAAAGGATGCTGCTCTGGTATTGCATTAAGAGGTGTTACTTTCCAAGAGCTGGATAAAGAAGAATTTGAAAAATATTTAGAGCTGAATAGCAAATGCATCCTGAGGCACTGAATTTTCTGATAATGTTCCTTTCCTTTCAGCAAAATAAAAAGAATCACTGCAGAAAGATGGGGAGACTTGTCATAATGTTACAAGCAGGAAGGTTGCTGGTGTTCAGTTTTCTGATGCTGTAATGCCTTTTTGAGACTAACTTGAAAAATATCCTCTTTCAGATTGGCCACATTGATGGGGATCCCAGTCGGAAAGGAGCTTTCCCTGTATCATTTGTGCACTTTATTGTTGACTAAATTGCTACTGATAAATGGAAACATTTCTCATTTCCAGCGGTCATAGAAATAAGTTTTCCTCTGTTTCATTTCATCTACCTATCTGCAAACATCTTGCCAGAGCACTGCCCAAGTTCTAGGTACTGTAGCTAACTTTTTTACTACCATCATTCTGATTTTGGAACTTTTAAAACTTTTTCTATGTGAAAACTTCTCATGAGCAGTTTACACTTTAAAAAAACCCTCTTCCTGTATTTTTCAAGGTGAACTGAAAAGCTTTAACAATGAATATCCATATAAATGTGTGAACATCAAAATATTATTATGAATATTCTTTTCAGTGGATTCACTGTAATTTTATTCTGCCTTTTGTAACGTGACAATACCACAGTTCAGTGTTGCTTCCCCAGTCAGATAAATTGCGTACATCTGTAACAGGGCAGTGAATTTATCCAATTCTCAATACCATTTGAAGTGTTGGACTCAAAAGTTGCAAGCTGCTGAGTAGTTCTAAATTGGACTAATTCAGCATCTCGCCATACTGGCTTTCATCCAGGATGTCAGCTATAGCGGAAGAAACTACTTTAACTGGGTGTCTTTGGCCAGGTAAAAAAGAAAGTGTTTCAGTTTACCACAGGAGAAACTTTTTTTCTTTCAGAATGGATGTAGATATTTGCTTAAAGTTTTCTGAAATCTGTGTTGGTCGTTGAACCTTCTAGTTCTAATTTTGTGAGCTTGAGACTGTTTCATTTTCTATGCTGCACGTGTGTGTAACCTGTTTTTTAAATGTTCTTTATGTATGTTACATCCATTTTAGTCATTTACTGTGACTACTGCTGGTTAACTAAACTATGGCAATATTACTGAGTTATTAAATTAACTCAAGGATATGAAAACTGCACTTCCTGAAATGTACTTAGCTATGATGATGGATCGCAGAGCATTTCTTACACTCGTATCATTATAACGTTTAGACTTTTTTTTTTTTAATTCTTGAATTTTCTTAATCGTCCAGCAATGTGTTCACACAGCGGACATATTTGGTGGAACACTTAAATAATTATCCTTGGTCAATAAGGTATCCAACACCTCACAAGTACACTACATTATGTTCTATTTTATAAAATTTGTGTGCCACTACCTTGCAAACAATAAGAGTTTGCTAGCTCACTCTGTATTTATATAATATACCCACATACATGGTAGCTACACTGTTGTTGAATTTGTTTTACTAATTTGTGAAAAAAGGCTAGGCTGATGATAATTCCCACTTGGTCGATGGAATACAAAACATCAATGGAAATCTGATATCACTTTGTTTGTATATCGTGAGATTGCTTATGCTATGGGAAACAACTGATGGCTTAGGCTAAGAAAAATCAGCGTCTAGGTCACATTGGCTTTGATCACATTTTGTGAATAGCGTATCTCTAGATTTATCAAGAGAACTTTGAATTTCTGACAAATGGTGTTTAAATGGGCCATCTTACGTGTAACAGAACGGAAAACAGGCCTACACAGGCTTATTTGGAGAAAAATTGCATTGTGTTAATGCTGGAAGAGCAACACTGATCTTTCTTACCTTATATCACCTTTCTTAAATGGTACAGTTGGTTGATAGCCTCTGAAATGTGTGGGTACAGCCACGTATACACATAACCTTCATTTTTCTAGATGCTGTTGCTGCAGTATAAATGGGGAACAAACTGGAATGTTTCAAGATATTTTTGTTGCAAGTTGAAGCAAATTAGTCTGTATTTTCAAAGTTCCCAGTAAAATAATAGAGTAATAGTTTAGCACTACAGTTTTATTCACTTCCTGGTATGTTCAGTTTGCAACACTATTTTGTATGTTTCTATCCTTGATAGAGTCTAGAGAGTAAATGGGCATATTATTTTGCACAGATCTCCTAATGTACAGTATTTTTAACACAGAATCTTATAGTGTATGTAACAACTTGTCGAGTTAAACAAACGATGCAAATTTAATTTCGGTTCTGCTAGAAGAGGCATACACTTTCCAATGTCACAACCCTGTTAGCTAGTCGCTTGAACTAGGAAACCTTTAGAATACAGTGTGATAGCAGTAACTGTGCAGATAGATAAAATCTTAGGGACCAATAAAGAGCAGCTAAGCAAGATTTTTCCCTAGATTTTTCAATAATGTTTTCTCACAGTTTGCTCCTCTGGCAGAAGAAAAAAAAAATTCTAGAGAGTGTAGATATCTATTTATAATATAAAATGAAGAATTTTAAGTCCAAAATTTTGGCATATTTCATACAACTTTTCAAACCTGATTAAAATCATGATTCAAAAAAAAATCCTGTTAATGGACAGACTATTAGGTTGCTGTGTTAACTGTTTAAAAAGGAGCAAATGACATTAAAAATACAGCTTAGAATGCTATGAGATGTATAATATTCAGTTGTTTTTATTTTGTTTAGTTGCAGAGCAACTGTATATATTGTATAACCTAAAATCAACTCTTATTTTCAATGTCCTGGATGCAGTGATTTATAATTAGAGCATGATTAATAAATTTTACTCTTGCTAACCAGTCAAGTGGCTGGAAAAATAAAACTACTTTTAAAATCACTTTGGCTACATCTCTTCTCTGACTTTGCCTAAGCAATACCAAGTTGTTCTTTCCACTCTTTCAAGTGATTGATAAACACAACCAAGCAGCACAAATACACCTGTTGTAGGTTTGTGGTTGAACATAGGTGTGCTGTCTACACCGTTTCTAAGATTAAATTAGAGATATAAAGGTCTCCCTCACTACTCCTTAACACTTTGCTCTTGCTGGGTTGTTCTAAGATTTATGACTTAAGCAGAGCTGAAATCTACTCAAATTATTTTACAGACAATGGGTTAGAAGCAAGTGTCAGTTTTATTTTACATTTCTACAGTACTGATATTAATATACAAAATAATGCTTTAGGAAAAAAAAATCCATGTTAAATATAAAACTCTGTCCTGGAAACTGAAGGTGGAATGATTTTTTTTTTTCAAGTCACGTTTGGGGAATGATAAAGTACCATGTACAGTGTTGCATGGCTCTTCTTTGCACAGTAAGTCTTTTCTGAGTTTGCGTGCACCTAAGTGGCCAGTCTGCAGCATCACAAACGAGCCCCGTTTCCTCCTCACACACACAAAGGCCTCTTTGTACTACATGGTCACGTGCCGCTGAAGAAAATCAGGACTTCTCTGACATTAAAACGGAATCAAAGGCTGTAGATAAGACTTTGCAAATAGCTTGTGCTTGTTCCTGTATCAAATAAAAAACACACACATAATTAATACTTTCTGAAGACCTTCTGAATTTCTCAAAACTCATTTAAAGCGAAACGTGACCTTTATCATTCTTTTGGCAGAGACTTGCAGAATGGAATAGCACAAGTGAGATTTAATTTGAATTCTGTGATCTGCAATGACATGTTGGAAGCTGTTTAAATGAGCTCTTTTGAACCGAGTCAGATGTGTTAGCGTTCATCATAGCATGATACTGGCATTCAGAAAGTCAGTTTATGTGCTCCCCCAGTGCCGCTAAGTGTGGATGCCATAGTATCTTGACAATGAATTCTCCTACTTTAAGAGGAGATCGCTTCCCTTGCTTATAAATATTGAACGCATTCTCTCTTACCAGGATTGTTACTCAATCCCTCCCTGCTCTGTCAGATCTTAAGAGGTTTTTGTCTGTGACAATTCAAATGGAGGATTGTCCTTTGCAGCTACGATAGCACTCTTGGGGTGCAAAGAGCTTTCTCAGGCCTGTACATGCACCTGCAATTTTAGGGAAAGTAGATCCCTGTTTTCCTCAACACTGATCAAATACAATCTGTGGAACTTATCCCTCTCCTTGCCCAGAGCATGTTTATGTTCTTATCAAAAGGCAATATACAAGGCCTTTGGGTTTCACAGTCTCTTTTTAAGATCAAAATATTGATACCTAAATTAAATACTATAAACAAACTCTTACCAAACTATTGCACTGATATACCCAGAGGCTGCATTCTTCAGAGGCTGCATCTGTTGTCTTCAAAGCCAGTAAACTTTTTCCTGCGCCCAGACCATCATCATAGCAGACCATCCGTACAATTAAATAAAGAGCATGCCTATGTAACACATCCTGAAACCATTTGGCAAATAAAAGTTACTCTGGAACAGTGCAACAACTATTTCAGCTTTCTGCATGTTTTGATTCCTGTCTCTTTCAAAAGAATACTTTAGATTTCTACAGGAGAAAAGTACTCTTTGTTAAAATCAGAAATATAAACTGTTAATTGAGAATTCATCAAGATTTTTTTTTTGTTAACCACCATTTAAAAAATTTTAGTTTTGATTTTTGCTTCTGTTCTAGAGTTGCATTCATATGCTGACTATTATACCTGGCCATATTACCAAAGCATATATTTATTTCCCCACCTATTCCCACTCACCTTTTGTGCTTAACTTGCCTAATGCCACCTTATTTCCTGCCAGTGGGCCTGGTCCGAGGAAGCACTTTACTGCTTGTTGCTTCCCTGTCCATTTTCAGTTTTTTTTTTTTTTTTTTTTTTTGTCCATTAGAATCTGCACACTCTATTGGTCGTTCTCATCTAAACGACAGTCCCCGAGTTCCCGAAGCTCCTTGTTCCCCTTGCATCACATCCATTAATTAAATTGTTCGTGCCCCCCCACATGCCAGACATCTGCATGACTTAATGTGGACAAAAGTTAAAAACTGTGTTTTAACTGCCCCTGAGCTGAAAAGGGAGGGAGTGCAAACCACTGGAACACATACCACTTCCTTTGGGTACCAGCACTCAGGGTTGTGAGCGCCTGCCTGCCCAGGTGACTTTATCCTTAGCACCAGCCAAAACAGTGGCACCAACCCCATTGCTGTATTCAATGCCATGCCCACTAAATTCTGCTCCCTTTCAGCGTTCTAAGCACCCCAAGACCTCCCAGTTACTAGGGCTACATCTGCATTAATAAAATAAAAAAGATTAAATGCTCATGCTTTGGTATGAGACTGTTTCTATTGGTTGTCAGCACTTCCAGCAAGCGTTGTCAGCCTTTGGAGTTTCTCTCCAAATCTCAGGCAGGGCTCAGCCCCCTTCTACTACCGTGCTCGCTGTTGCTTTCTGAAGGTGGCTGCAAGGCTCACAAGGCCCATTTAGATCCATTACAGTCAAGACCACCTTCCCCCAACCTTAGCAATATGCTATCATCTGCTTTGGTGTCTTGGACACGGAGATCGATCACTGACATTACTTTTGGCTTCGCGTCAGTACTGTGATTCTTTTACTACCCTATGGCCAGAAGGAAAGAAAGGCAGTAACCCTTCTCTAGAGGAGAAGCAGTTTTCATCTCTTGCTGTCATGATGCTCTCAGAGAAATCTAAACTACTATGATATAAGAAAAGGAATTAAGAGCATCCTGATAGCTAAGTAATGGGTGTAGTCTTTCCAGTTCCACTTCTCCAACTATCAGGTACTTGACAAGTTCGTAAATACGATCCCCTTCTTTTCCACCCTTGTAACAAGCAACAGAGAAAAATTCTACAGCAAACTGGTTGCCAGGGCCACCTTTTTCCTCTGCTTCCTCTTCTCCTATGCACTACTTCATCTTCTCTGGACTGGTTAGTTCTACATCATCACAGCAAGATTTCACTTCTAACACTTGACTGACTTAGTAGCTGGAGGGTCTGCTTGCCTGGCTCCAGTGCCTCATTCCACCTCTTTTTAAGGATTCCTTTCCTTAAAATGCAGGAATTAATTAAACTATACTGAGAAATGAAACTAAGAAAGGATCCTGCACGTAGCATGGTCAAGCGGAGAGTTTTATAAAACATATCTTTTTGATATAACACATCTTGTATTTAAGAAAGCTGTATTTGAAAAGCTTTATCGGCAAGTTATGTCACTGTTCCAGTTCTGATCTTGGCCATTCAAAAAGAATCTTCAGAATCATTTTCTTCAGTATGAAAAAAAAAAAGTCTCTTGCAGACCTACTCTACAAAGCCTTCCTTTTCAAGCCATCCTACACTACCAATTGTATTCACCTGTTTTATTCCCAGTCATACCACCTCTAGGGTTAAAGCTACACTATGACCTAAAGACAGCTTTTTCCCTATGTTGATGGCATCAAAACACTCCCTTGTTCCTATCAGTAGCTGAAAGGTCTGAAGGAATGGCTGTTTCCATAGAGAGGCTGTGCAAATGGACAGTGAGCTTACTGATGTAGTCTGCTGTGACACTATCGAGACAGAGCTGTCCACAGAATACACTGCCAGAGCTCCAGCTACGTAAGACGACCTTGTTGAAAAACCATCTCCATCCCTGACACCCACTAGCACTGACTCACAGCTCTATTCATACCTTCACCAACCATTAAACCATGCTGAAGGCAGCTGGAAATGACGTGGAACTTACTGGATCCGCCATCCAGTCTCCGCATGAAAGATTCCAAGATTTGCCTCCAAATAACTTTTTAGAGTTACTGCTTGGGACTCACTACAGTGCTAATGTACACGTGGATTATCACTAAAAGAGGGAGGCTACTTACAGGTAACCAGAATTCTTTAAAGTGCTTAGTCCCCCTGTAAATTCATTTCCTCCCCTCCTTCCAGTATTTGGTTATGAGGGGATTCTGCAGTTGAGAGAGAAATGAGATGGCAATGGACAAACTGTGCCATACATGTATGTATATATACACATATATATACACACACACACACATATATATATATATATAAAATGTACAAATACACACAAACAGAATGAGAAGAAGGCCAAAGCCTCAGTGTTGCTTCTATAAATACTTTTGTGTGTTTGCTTTCTAGGGATTGCACCCACAAACAATAGAAATGCATGAGTGCATTACGTATCTGTAAGTATTTCAGTCACTAATAAAAAACTTCTTAAATGTTGACTTAAAGCCATTTAAGAAAAATTGTTGTATCCTTCACTCAGCTCTCTTTTTAGCATCTGAAATCCTGTGTAGCCTATCTACAAAGTAATCCACAAATCACTGAACTCTATAAATAATCACATTTCCCTCCAAGACACAAGAGACTAAATTCTTTGCCTGAATGCAGGGAAAATAACCTTTCCACCTTGGATATCTGTAAGAGAGTTAGGGGTACTAACATGTTAAGGCAGAAATTAAACTTCAACAGTGACACAGATGCAAAAAAGCTAGAATTTTGAACATGGAATGTAATGCAATAAAAAAAGCCAGTGCAAGCTAGCTTAATCACAGAAGGCTTTGTCAGTTTGTTCGTGCTTTCAGCTTGAAGCCAGAAAAGCGATGAATAAAAGGCTTAAATTATCCATTTCACCTTTTGTTAAAGCGCAGAGGAATTTAAATACTATAACCTATGTTCTCAATGAGAATTAAGAATTCAGGAGGACAGCAAGAACAAAACCCAAAGGAATTAAAAGTTTGAGTAACAAACGCTAAATTTCCTCTCGGGCATTAGAAACGAGCATTTTCTTTTCCAAAGGGACCAAAGGAAATTTTTTGGCTTTCTTCCGAATATTCAGCTATTGAGCAACACTGTTCACTGTCCTCACAGTTCACGGAGGCTTTTTATGAATAGGCATTGGAGGGCTTTTGATAGGTCATGACTTCATAAGGCCAAGTATTTATGGTATCTGGGGCTCTGAGGGCAACCAGAAGGAAGCCACATGACTGCAGTTTAAAGCTATACAAAAGCAATAAACCGGCCCTGGGGAAGGGACTGCGTTTTTATTTTTAGCAAAATAGCTATCTGATGTGTGCTAAAGGAAAACAAACTACATATAAGAAATAACGCAAACACAAAAAGAGGCTCCAAAAAGTGGAAACATGAGGCTTCAATGCTGGAGTGAACCTAAAGTCTTGGATCAGGAGCTCTAGACTGGAACTTTAAAAAGGAACTCAACTCAAGTACCTTTCAAAAAAAAACTTCTTTCTTTTCTCCCCACAACAACATAATCAGGAATTATTAACTCGGAAAACAATGAGGAATCTGGGCTTGGCCATCACAGTCATGCCACACAGTCATTCCACCTGAGAGGATGGCAGAATAGCCATAGAGAAAAGATGACTGGACCTAAGAGTATAAAGGCATGTTTGACTTTTGCCTGGTACTCTATTTCTCCCAGATGGCATGGATTCTTACCATAAATTCAACCAGTCCACCAAGGAAAATACAGACAGCTTTCAGAAGATGCTGACTGAGGCAGTGCTGCTGCAAGAGCCTGTTATAATTTCCTTACTTTTACTTAAAGCCAGGAGTGACATCTTGGTTACACAGATTATCTATCAGAGAAATAAATGAAAACACTTTTCAGCTCTCCCCCAAAAAACATTTTGTTATTAATCACTTACATATTGATCAGATGTTGAAACTTTAATGCCGTATTTGGAAACTCCCATAATAAACTCCTCTTCACCTGGAACAAAAGGTAACTTTCCATCTTGCTTTGGAAAGAAACAAACAAAAGCCTTTAGTGTACAAAGATCATAAACAATGAAGATACATAGTAGAAAACATAAGTGTGAGTGTACTTCAGTCCAGTGAATCACTAACGTCACTATTTCAGCCCACCTCTTACTGCGTGGGGTCTCCCGCTCCTGCACTCGTCCAATCTCTTTATCTTATGTGAAATACTACATGATTCCAGAGGAATTTATAATCTCTGGAGGTTTCTGGCCCCATGTTCCATTATAGGATGTTGGAGGCAAATCAGATGGGCAGAAAAACATTGCTTACTCTGTCATGCTGCACTGACCCTGGGTGATGTTCAACATCGGCAGCACTTTCCTGCTTAGCTGTAAAAATAGCTTTACCATATATTCAGATACTGAAAGTGTCATGTTGCTGTAAGATAAACAGACATTCTGTACTTTTAAAGGGAGAAGTGACCAGCTACCTAACAAGAACAGACACTTATTGGCTGTATATTATTTTTGTACTAAAAGCCAACACAATTTGGCAATCGCAACCCAAATATTATTCAGGTTCTTTGGTCACAGGTTCATAAGTAATTTTAAGCAGAAACTGGCATTGTCCTCCGTAGCAAAACTTCTTCTATAGTACTGAGCAGATATTCTTTCCCCGGTTACTATTCCTAGCAGTATTGAGGAGAGTATAATAGCTTTCAGTTGGGCTAGTCATTCAGTAATGACTTGTGAAAAGGGCCTTCATTCCGAGTCTGCTTCTTCAGAACTGCTTTTTGGGTGCATCTTCTCCAGCTGCTCTAGATAGAGCAATAGGATGGAAGCGAGTATGACAGCTTTCAAGACTGTAACGTAATGTCTTGAGTAGATTTTTTCAGTAAGTTACCTTACTCGGGTAAGTCCAAAATTTACCAGAAACACACCTCAGCTTGAGATGTTCCGACATTGCTGGTAATGTCTTTTGTAATACGCTTACCTGTGCAACATCTATGTAATTTATCAAGTCCAAGGGCCCTTCTAGATTTTTGCTCTCACTGTATTTCAGTTTTTCAATGGCACCAACATATTTAACTCTGAATTCTGCGCACGTATCAGAGTTACTATTGCTTTGTCCTGCAAGAAAATACAACCAAACAATTCTAAAGAACAGGAATTCTAGTCTTCTTTCATGTTAATGAAGCAAACATTAAATTCCATACAATTTTTGCTGACTTTTATCAAACAGTTCACCTTACCACAATATATTAATTCCTCCCTTTAATGAACTCTTGTGAGTTGACATTTTATTATACAGCCAGAACAGCCCTTGGCAAAGGCAATAATTTCATATGAATTCAAAAGCTGATTCTACTTTTCTATAGTTGATTTAAAAAAAAAAAAAAGGAGGGGGTTGGTTCAACAGCGTTGCACTGTGATCTGGTGAGCAAGAGCAAATAAAATGAACTCTTACTCTAGTTACTAGATCTAAGTGCAAAATTAAATTTATAAAAGCACGAAACGTAGCTTCTAAAAAGTTGTATCTGATCTGTGCTGTGTAACTAACTGAGTTTTTCTTGTTCAGACACTTTATCTTAAAAAAAAAAAATCACTTAATACTAGATGAATGATTGATAATACCTTATAGGACTGGAGTTAAACACGTGTTAGTCAGCAAGCCATCTCACAGCTTCACTTGCAATCATTAAAAATACATACTTTAAGCTTTTTGATTTTCCACTCTTTTATATGAACATGCATAAAATTAATCCCGCTCTATACATATCTACTCAAACTCTTGATTACATACCTGAACTTTTTGTAGAGTCTGTATCTAGACTAGCCACAGTACTAGACCTGGAAAGTCCCCCAAGACTGGAATCTACAGACTAAAGACAAACAAAAACAATAACAACGTAAGTTACTAAGAACATGTTAACAATTTGCTTTTAGTTGCCCTGCCTCTACACTTTTTAAAAATAAATAAATATTTATGTTTTTCAACTATTTAAAGAGCACTGCAATGGGAAAAAAATAAAAATTATGCCTTTTCTGAAGTTATCTTTCTGCCTCATTGTAACTTAGGTTTGATATAAATTCATCAGGAGCCCCTGAGCAGTCCATAAATATTTTGAAAGGAGGAGGGAGTCAAAGAAAAAGAGAAAATGAACCTAAGTTTACCTACAGACTCTTCTGTTACTGCATCTTAATCTTGAAGAAAATGACAACTACGCACTTGTCACCAGTGCTTGAAATAACATGTCCTACAGCAGTGCCAGAGAAGTGAAACGCCACCTTGGAATATCCAGAACATTCAACCGATTGTCCCAAAACCAATCAAATAAAATGGACATATAATCCCAAATGAAGAATACTTTTTAAGAGATATTGGGCAGCCGACTTTGAAGAACTGAACTCACACTTGGTGCCAAGCACCAGACACCTTCTTAAAGGCAATATTTAGCACTACAGAGCACAAACGTAGTACTTCTTCCTGCAAACTTTACCATGTGCTGCCAGAAGCTCTCTTGTGTTTGTGGACTTCACTGTGGAAGTAATCAAGCAGACCTCTCAGAATCCAAGGGCTCATACTTGCACAGTGTTTTAAATCTCATAATTCAATCTGAGGAATAAGTGAAATAGAAAGCTCTCCCTGGTGGAACATGGCACTTTACGGAAATCACAGCCGAATGTCAGTGTAAGTGAACCACTGAACTGTCAGCTCACTGCAAATGAATATCTTTCCATAAACTGAGGGTATATACCAAATTCAGCTTACCTTGCTTTTAGTACTGATTTCACTGCTTTGTGAGCTGCTGCTGCTGTGTCGTTTTTTTCCTTTTCTAAACATTTTTTCATAATGGGATCAAGGAAGATACTCTAGGTAGGAAAAATAAAAATTAACTCTGTCATATCATCAAGAAGGAAGTTCCCATCAAACACTAGGGTGACTGACTGTGTTCAAACTGGACAACAACTGAAAACTAGTAATCTGAGAATGTTGTAAAGGTCAGTTTCTAATGCATATAAAAATACACACTTAGGACCAAATTTAAAATGGATACACCCACTTAAAAGCACTGGATGATATTAATGTGTTTTAAACTAAAATTTGAATGCCCTATGAAGCGCACTCAACACGCTCCCTAGTCCAAAGATTACGCTCCCATTAAAAACCACCTACTTCTGAAGAACAAGTGAGCGTAATCCAAACTACTAGGAGCAGCTATTAATACTGAACAATGTTCTTGAAGACTGAAACAAGAACCGCGTCGTATTTACTGCCTCAGAACTGAGTTAACTGGGAACTCAGAGAATATATCAAGGGAAGCAGTTTTCCTGTATCTCCCCTAATTATACTGTATCACTAAACATGTGACCGCCCAGCGTCAGAGACAAGATGCCAGTTGGAGAGCCTTTAAATTGTTTTATATATTAGTAAAGGTTTTTTTTTTTAATTACAAAAACCAAGTCAGTCATTGCAAGAGCTCTATTTTAACAAAAGAGTGGAGCCATAGCAGTTTAGTGAGTATTAGTGGTTAGCTAAAACAGAAAACCCAAGTCTCCCAACCCGAGGGCGCTAGAATTTGTATTTTCCAGCTTCAGTAAAGAACACCTTAATTACAAGGCTTCAGAAACACTGAGCAGGAGGAAGAGAGAGGACAAAGGAGGAAGACATCACACTGAAGATAGCTCACACTGCAGAAAACAATACAAGATTCACACAGAGGAGCTTGGACCTGTGACAGTGCTGGGGAAGCTCTTGAATTACAATCCCAAGACTGTCCCTGTGTTTTACATTAAGCAATCACGAGATCATTAACAAACCAAAGCCACCTCGGTGACAAGAAACATGGCAAGGCATTCCGGTATCCAGGATGCCCCTGTTCTTCTTTGCTTATTTGAACCACCACCAAAGACCCAGCAGACTTCCCTGCAGAGCGGCAGCTGCTAGAACAGGGTCAAATTTGCTGACTCGACCTGAAGTCTTTGAGGAACGCACTTAAGCTCTGGAGAGGCAACAACGAAATACAGAGACTTTTCTGCATCTCCTATTGCCCCCTCTTAGCAGCTCCCTCCCGAGCGCACACGTTTTCTGAGATGTGTCTTTCCCACCACGGGTGACGCAGGACGCAGCGACTCCTGCCTCCGCCTCTGCTCTGGGGCCGAGGCCCACGGAGGACGCACAGGACAGCCCCTCAGCTGGCTCTTCCCTTCTTTTACCTCTAGCTCTAAACTGTGCGCCGAAAACCACGGCTGCAGCCCCAACAACGAGTAACACCAGGGGCGCCACTGGTCGCTCTCCTCAGCCCAACGGCCCCGCGGGCCAGGCGCAGCG